AATGGCACGATTTCAGCTCACTGAAAACTCTGCCTCCCGGGTTCACACCATTCTCCTGCCTCAGCCTCCCGAGTAGCTGGGACTATAGGCGTCTGCCACCATGCCTGGGTAACTTTTTGCATTTTTAGTAGAGACGGGGTTTCACTGTGTTAGCCAGGACGGTCTCGATCTCCTGACCTCATGATCTGCCTGCCTCATCCTCCCAAAGTGCTGGGATTACAGGCGTGAGCCACCGCACCCAGCCTTAAGAGCTTTTAAAACCATATGCATATACTTACACATGTATTTATTTTACTGAAATGGAATCATCAAGTACATATGTGTTGGTCACCTGTGTTTGTCCTTAATATATTTTAGACACCTTATCCATTAATAAATATGTATCTATAACATTATTTTAAATATGAAAAATATAACATTATATGGATGTATTTAATAAAACTCTTATTGTTAGACACTTAGGTTGGCTTTCTATTTTTTTATGATAAACCCAGTTTAGATGATCTGCCTAGTAGTTTAATCTTTGCACACATGCTTAATAACTTTCTAAAGATAGAGTTATAAATTTGACACTGGTCACCGAACAAAATGTGCATTTTTAAGGCTTTTGAATATAGTGGACACTTGTGTTTCTTACATTTTAGCTGTGCAGTCTCAAATCTACCAATGAATTTAACTTCTTTTCTAGGGTGGGACGCTACTTCAGACTGCTTTCATGTCAAGATCTGCCTCATCTTCCAAAGTGGGAGTTCCCAGCATCAGGCTTGTGGGGGTGGAAGCTTAATCCGCCTCCTTCCAAAAACTGAAGTGAGTCACTACCAACTTTGTTTCTCCACCCTTGACTGGGTCCATACACATCCCTGCCTTTATTTTAAGGAGGTAGAATCCAGCCTGAAGTCTCCATTCATGTAGAATTGAGAAAGGGCATCTGTTCTGGGTCATTCTTACTTCCAGACTAGAATTTATCTCAGCTCTTAAGACACAGCTATCTTAAGATAAGTTCTTAAGAGCTAACTTAAGAAATCTTAAACAGTTTTACAGAAGTGGGTAAAATCTCTGCAAGTCTTTGAAGAGTATTAGCAATGAAAATGGTTGTTATTTTTTCAAAAAATAATAACATGAACTTGGAATGGATAGTTATTTTGGGCAGATTCCCCATCTGATCTGTGCTCCTTCCCATTTGAACCCTGGATACCTTTGAGAAACATTCTTGGAGCATGTAGAAAAGCCAGTACATGGGCATGGACATACACATACCCTACCCTTACACTCTTCTTTTTGCTTCTTTTGCTATTGCTACTATCATACCACCACCACTGAAATCTAGCAATGGTTTTAAAATGTGTAATGTGGTCATTTTTGCTGGTCAGAGTACTTTCTAGGCTAAAAAGCAAAGGAAATATAAAGACAAATTTTCAACAACCTGCAGTGGTATACGCTGCTTTAAAGTTTATAAAGCAAGGCCGGGTGCTATGGCTCATGTCTGTAATCCTAGCACTTTGGGAAGCCGAGGTGGGTGGATCACTTGAGCTCAGGAGTTTGAGACCAGCATGGGCAACATGGCAAAACCCTGTCTCTACAAAGAAAACAAAAATTAGCTAGGTGTGGTGGTGCCAGCTATTTGGGAGGCTGAGGTGAGAGTACCATTTAAGCCCAGGAGGTCGAGGCTGCAGTGAATCGTGTTCACTGCAAAGCGAGACCCTGTCTCATAAACAAACAAACAAAAACATTTATAAAGCCCCTTCACATATCCTGCAGGTGCTGTGCCCAGGGAACTCATTCTACTAAAATTGCTCTTAGTCTAAAGGGGAAGCAATGAGATGAGCTGATTACTCTCTGGGGTTAGGGATTCTATGTTTCTTGTTATGAAGCCCAGATATTCTGCTATCAGAATGATGGACTGTTTGACTAGATCTACCTGACAGAGTAGAGGAAATATTTCTGATTTTCTCCTCTCCAGGAAGTAAGAATGACATAGAACAGATATCCTCTAGGGGAGAAGGAGACACACATTGTCACAAAAATCTAGGACAAAATGTTTCAGTAAAACTAGCTCCCACAGTAAGTTATCTTACATTCAGCAAATTAGGGATTAATTTTCAAAAGATTCCAGATAAGCACAGGTAATTTGAACTTTGTAAAACATTGTTATAAACTCTTCAACGGTCCCTTCCAGAGAGCTCTGTCTGCCCTTGAGTAGCTAGAAGCACGGCTTTGCTCAAGTCAAGAGCTGCTATCAGGACAGAAACATCTACTGCCGTCTAGAAGAGTAAAAAGTAGAGAAAATGCTAGAAGTTCCACTGTAAAGTGGCCAGGTTTTTAATGATTAAGGTACCAATAATAAGGAATATAACATGGTTCTTAATTAAGGAATATAACCAGACTGGGTTTCAAATTGTTTTTTTAGGGACATGGACATAGATTCCTTTAAAAACCTTATATTTAGTGGTTAGGTACCAGGTTCATCCCTAAAACCTACTAAAACTATATTGACTCTGAAATGGCACTTTCAATATCCTTAAGATTCCATCCTCATCCTACTCCCAGTGGAAACGTTCAATTTATTAGATAATTGGAAAATTGAGACTTGAGGCCTAGTGAACCAAGGGGGAGTGAGTGGTGGGTGAAGGTGGGCCCTTCTCGGTTTAGTAGCACTCAAATTAGCATAAGAATATGGTACTTCTGGGAGATGACCCAGAAAATATGGCCATCAAAAGCAACAATGTTCATATGTCTGAGTCCCAAGTATTAAATCTATGGGTTAGTGACTGAAGGACTTAGGTTTCTTTCTAATTAAGTTAAATTCCATTAGATAAGATTGATAACTTGGACAAAATTTGCTTTTAAGATTTCGATGAAAGGGACTCTTGTACTACTGTTGCTCCTTATCCCATTCTGTCATCAGAACTTGTGCTGGGCATACAGCCAGTCCCTAGAAATACTTGCTTCATGAATTGAATATGAAGATTAACTAAGATGACTGGCACGCCTTGGTGTAATGGGTCTTTGCAAAGATGAATTCTTCAAGGTGATGACAAGAGGTTTGTCTAAGATTTGAGAAGCACAGTGAGTGTGCCAATGGATTATTAATGAGCACTCACACTTTTAAAAGTAGAGAGTCAATCCCACAGCAAAAACTTCAGCACTAATGAGATATAAGGGCTTTGGGCATATTACCTAACCTCAATGTCGTTATCTATAAAATGTAAATAATAATAGCAACAACCATCATATAGGGTTATTATGAGGATTAAATGAGACAATACACATGGAATAATTAGAAGAGTGCCTGGCAAGTAGGAATTAGGGGAATGACTATGCAGATGCATTTATGCAGATGAGCAGACCTCTAGGGTAACTCAGAAAAAATAGAAGGTCCTAGACATAAAGGGGCCACGGGACCCCTACAATGTATATGAATCTTGGCTGAATCATTGTGAACTAGATAAGGACCAGCTAAGATACCTGCCCCATTCCAGAAGGCTTGGCACTGTGTAAGATCCTGCTACTGTGTGGTGCGAGTTGAAAATATATCCTAAAATGACTTTTCCTAACAGCCCTGAGATATGTGGCCATGGAATAGAAAGTGGGCTGAATAATAAAAAAGTCATATTTCACAACCCATTTCAGCTATTATTATTAGGGAACTAAATGATATATCCAAATATCAAAGGAGAGAGCGGGGATAAGGCACAAAGGGGTTGAGAAGAATCTTGCTCTAGATACATTTTACTGTTCCAGTAGCCATGCCATAATTTCTAGAGGAGCCTACGGGGAAAAATCTGATTGTGAGGAAGGTAGGGAACCTGTTTGAAACCTCTTTTGTGTAATTTTTTTTTTTTTTGAGATGGAGTCTTGCTTTGTCACCCAGACTGGAGTGCAGTGGTGCGATCTCGGCTCACTGCAACCTCCGCTTCCCAGGTTCAGCTTCCTGAGTAGCTGTGATCACAGGTGTATGCCACCATGCCCAGCTAATTTTTTTATTTTTATTTTTGTATTTTAGTAGAGACGGGGTTTCACCATGTTGGCCAGGCTGGTCTCAAACTGCTGACTTCAGGTGATCCGCTCACCTCGCCTCCCAGAGTGCTGGGATTACAGGTGTGAACCACTACGCCTGGCCTTGTATAACATCTTATATAAGACTGAGAAAACATCAATTGTTCCACATGAAAAAAATGCAGGAAGTGGTTGTGCCTGCAAGTGAGGAGAGGTAGGGTTATGAGCTTGTTTAACCTCTTAGGAGAAACAACTTTTCCTCAACCTTTTAGAACAATGCCTTGTACTTGATCACACCATCTTAGATTATGTGGTAAAACTATATTTCTTTAAAAGAATTCTAATATTCACATTTTCCTACCAATTCTAATCCTGGTCTTCTTTTCATTTATTTGAAAGCAGATCTGGCCGGATGTGGTGGCTGATGCCTGTAATCCCAGCACTTTGGGAGGCTGAGGCAAGTGGATCATGAGGTCAGGAGATCGAGACCAGCCTGGCCAAAATGGTGAAACCCCGTCTCTACTAAAAATACAAAAATTAGCCAGGCATGGTCGCGTGTGCCTGTAATCCCAGCTACTTGGGAGGCTAAGGTGAGAGAATTGCTTGAACCCGGGAGGCAGAGGTTGCAGTGAGCCGAGATCACGCCATTGCACTCCAGCCTGGGTGACAGAGCGAGATTCTGTCTCATTAAAAAAAAAAAAAAAAGCTGACCAATTCTTGCTGTAACTTCTGAAAAAGAACACAGTGCTCTGGCAGCAACGATGATGACATTCTTCCAAGGGGCAGGATAAGAAAGAGGCAAAACAGCTGCTGGAGGTGGATTTTTGGCATTAGGGAAGTGTGAAATGTGAAAAATCACTATCACAGAAGATCATACTTGAAAAGGAGTTAAGAAAAACTCACAATTTAGAGCTACTTGTTTGTGTTAGTCTGTTTTTATACCGCTATGAAGATACTACCTGAGACTGGGTAATTTATAAAGAAAAGAGATTTAATTGACTCACAGTTCCAAATGTCTGGGGAGGCCTTCGGAAACTTACAATCATGGTAGAAGGTGAAGGGGAAGCAGGCACCTTCTTCACAAGACAGCAGGAGGGAGTGAGAGAGAAGCAAAGCAGGAAGAGCCCCTTATAAAACCATCAGATCTATGAGAACTCACTATCGTAAGAACAGCATGGGGGAACCTCCCCCATGATCCAGTCACCTCCCACCAGGTCTCTCCCTCAACACCTGGGAATTACAATTCAAGATGAGAAGCCGGGCGTGCGCCTGTAATCCTAGCACTTTGGGAGGCCGAGGCAGGCAGACTGCCTGAGTTCAGGAGTTTGAGACTAGCCTGGGCAACATGGTGAAACCCCATCTCTACTAAAATACAAACGACAACAACAAAAATTAGCTGGGTATGGCAGCATGTGCTTGTAGTCCCAGGTACTCGGGAGGCTGAGGCAGGAGAAGTGCTTGAATCCCGGAAGCGGAGGTTGCAGTGAGCCGAGATTGTGCCACTGCACTCTAGCCTGGCGACAAAGCGAGATTCTTGTCTCAAAAAACAAAAACAAAAACAAAAACAATTCAAGATGAGATTTGAGTGGGGACACAAAGCCTAACCATATCACCGTTTTACAGTGTAAACAGTCACCTAACTGTGTTAGATATGGCTTCTCGTATACATTTTCACTACCTTCTCTATACGCTCCATCTCTACTCTATAGAATTATAGAAACTGGAAGGCTCAAAACTATATTTCCCACTTTTCACCATCCATAAAAATACTAGATTAACTGTAAATCTAAGTGAAACAATAACAGTTTCACAAGAAAACAGAAGAATACTCTTACGACTTTGGAGTCCACAAAGATTTCTTAAACTGGAGACACACAAAATAAATAAGCCATAAAGGAAAACATCTGATAAACTAAACTAATTATAAATTATGAATGTCTTCATCAAAATACATTATTAAAACAGTGAATAAAATAAGCCACAGAGTGGACTGGGCGCAGTGGCTCATGCCTGTAATCCCAGCACTTTGGGAGGCCAAGGCAGGCGGATCACGAGGTCAGGAGATTGAGACCATCCTGGCTAACACAGTGAAACCCCGTCACTACTAAAAATACAAAAAATTAGCTGGGCGTGGTGGTAGGCGCCTGTAGTCCCAGCTACTCGGGAGGCTGAGGCAGGAGAATGATGTGAACCCAGGAGGTGGACCTTTCAGTGAGCCGAGATCACACCACTGCACTCCAGCCTGGGTGACAGAGCAAGACTCCGTCTCAAAAAAAAAAAAAAAAAAAAAAAAAAAAAGAAGCCACATAGTGGCAAAAGATCAGATCTATGAGATCAATACGTATACCCAACAAAGGACTCATGTCCAGAATAAAGGACTACAAAGAACAAGAAAAGGCAGACAAGCCCATAGAAAATAATACAAAATACATGAATAGGCATTTCACGGAAGAGGATACCCAAGTGACCAATAAACAATTAAAAAGGTGTTTAATTTATTTGATGTCAGAAAAATGAAAACAACAATGAGATTCAATACACTGCATTGGTCTTTAAAGAGAATGGCTAAAATTTAAAAGATGGAAAAGACCATGAAGATGTGAAAAACTGTTGGGCAGTATCTACTCAAGCTGAACCCCATGCATCAGAGAAATTCGACTTTTATATATCCAACTGAAATATGTGTGTGTGTGTGTTCACCAACGTTCATAGTGGCACTAGTTGCAATAATCTCAAACTGGAAACAACCCAAATGTCCATCTTTCGTAGAATGTATAAATTGAGTTATATTCATACAATGGAATACTACACAGCAATGAAAATGAAGATACTATTACTACACACAACATGAATGAATCTCACAAATAGTTGAGTAGGAAAAACCAGTAATAAAATAATACACACTATATCATTCCATTTTGTCTAATGTTTAAAAATAGGCCAAATTGGTCTAGGGTATTAGAAGCCAAGATTACAGTCAATTTGAGGGAGGATAACACCTAGAAAAGATAATGAAGGGAGCTTCTAGTATAGTAGTAGTTTCTCCCTCCCAATCTGGGTGCTAGCTATATGTAGGTGTGTTTACTTTATGAAAATTCATCAAGCTCTCTGATTATAATTTGTACATTTTTCTGTCTGTATGCGATACTTCAAGAAAGATGGACTTATACTGAGTTAAAACAAAGCCCAATAACTATAATTCTAGTCTGAGCTGCTAATAGGATTTGTTATACAATTTAAATTGTGCCAATCAGATATAATGACGCGAAATTTGAAAGGTAAAAGGAAGAGAGAGTCTATTTCCCCTGCCTATTAGCCTGCCTTCCTTCCTTCCTTCCTTCCTTCCTTCCTTCCTTCCTTCCTTCCTTCCGTCCTTCCTTCCATCCTTCCTTCTTCTCTTTTTACCTTCCCCTTCCCCTCCCTGCTTCTCTCTCTCTCTTTCTCTCTCTCTCTCTCTCTATTTATTTATTTTTTGAGAAACATTCTTGCTCTGTCCAGGCTGGAGTGCAGTGGCACAATCACAGCTCACTGCAGCTGAGACCTCCTGGGCTCAAGGATCCTCCCACCTCCGCGTCCCAAATGTTTGGGGCTTCAGGCATGCACCAATATGTCTGGCTGCCTATTAGTTTTCACTGGTAGTTGTTGATGTACATGCAACATTAAATGTGATTTTTAGTGACCAGACTTTCTGTGCCCAGTGTATTGCCACTAACTTCATCGGTGAGAAATGACTGTGATGTCAGCAGTGAACTCTGTAGCTTCCTGACCTCTAGATTGTAGCTGTATGGACTGAACTGCAAGCCCAACAGCAGCCCTCTTAATGCTCTTACCATTAGAAGAGCTGGAAGAAGGCTTCTCCCTCAGCCTTCTTCCAGCCCTTCTAATGGTAAGAGCATATAATTTTTAAGCATATAATTCCTAGCATTCAGTACCTAGAGAAGTGTCTGCACTGAACCCCAACTGATATATCAGTTAATAACACAACTGATAGGTTATGTAGTAGGTTTACGGTTGGTTGTAAGAATCTTTGGGGAAGAAAATTACCATTGGCAATCCTACCACCTAGGATCATCATTATCATGGGAAAGTTCTGCTTCAGAGGCAACCTAAATCTATGTTGATGTCCTGAAAAGCCATTTACTTCAGAGGATATGCTGGTTTCTGCTGCCATTCAAAAATTATTCTTAAGGCATTCTTTGTTCTCCCTTCACTAGCTAAATAATGCCATGCTTTTAACTTTTCTTTATGTGTTCAGCAGCTTTTCCCTGTTGTGGATATTTGAAAAAAGTATTCATGTAAATACTGCCTATTCTGATAGGATTAGCTGTCCCTTTCTTTTGGTTATACTCCCAAGTTTATACTTGCTTATCTAACCAAAGCCCTACATTGCTGACTCAAGTTTAGTTTATGGTCCAAGCCCAGTATCATGTTACTATTAGCCAAGACTTCCCATGGGTTGAGGCAGACTTGTAGAAGATTGAAAAATAAAACTTATTTGCCATAAGTAAGAATTTTTATCTGGCCTTCCAGTATAAAACATTCTCTAATATAACAGCTTATAAACAATGAGAATCAGAAGCCTAAAAAAATTAGTTAATAGCCAAAGAGAGACTGAATCATGGAACTGTACAGTTAGAATGGACCTTAGAAATAGTCTGTATGGCCAGATATAGTGGCTCATGCCTGTAATCCCAGCACTTTGGGAGGCCAAGGCAGGAGGATCTCTTGGGCCCCAGAGTTTGAGACCAGCCTGGCCAACACGGCAAGACCCCATCTCTACTAATTTTTTTAAAAAGTCTATTTATACACCAGAACACCGAGCTCAGATATGTATGCAGGATTCCAGTCCGTACTGAATACTCTTCCAGTATGAATACTCTTCCTACTCCTCAAGGTGTGTGGTCCTCAAACCAGCAGCATCAGCACTTACCTGGGAGCTTGTTAGAAAGCCAGAATCTTAGGCTCCAACACCCACTGAAGCAGAATCTGCATGATAACACCCCCACCCCTTCTTGATTTGTATGCATGTTGAAATTTGTGGAGCTAGAGACAAAAGCACCACAGGTGCATGTCTTACTATTTAAAGTCTCGCCTAATTATATTACATAGAAACCTGATCCCTTTTGGACAAGGCCTGTATTATTACAGGTCCTGGTCTAATAGAGTATTTGAATAGCTGGGTTAAAGAAAAAGAAAACTCTCTTTAATAATCTTTGGAAAAAGAGGACATTTATTTGAGCTGTGCTAGTTTTTAATGTACCTATTCAGATTTTAATCCATTAGAAAAATTAATAGCCTATTTGGTAGTAGCATGTCCTGCAAAAATAAGTGCAATAAATTGAAAGTATTTAAATGGATATTTAAACTCTGCAGCCATCGGTGATTTAGTTTTCAATTACATAAAGGTAATTACACTAGAATCCACCTCATTCACCCTTCCGTGAGAAAATGCTGGAGTGTTGTAATCAGCCAATGCTTTCAGGCAATGACTGATCTCCACTCCTTTTTGGCTGGGACCTGAATTCATTTGCTTTAAGCAGTTTAGGGTGTATGCTAGGAATATAAATGATAGAAACACCCTTTGTGACCCTTTTTACAAATGAAGCCGCATCACTATGAAGCGTGTATGTGAGGCTACATGCCCAGACTCTCAGACTGGGAATAGCTGACACTGCATGCAGATTTGGCCTGCTAGGGAAAGGCAGGTCGGTGGTTTAGGACAGTGCCCCAGCTAGGCTCTTCCCAGACCAGTGGTTCTTAAAGTGTGCCTCCAGAGGAGGCTTCAGGGGTGCTGGTAATGTTCTGTTTCTTGATCTGGATGCTGGTTACATGGGTGTGTTCAGTTTAGGAAAAGCCACTGAGCTGTTCACTTACAATAAATCCACCTTTCTATATATATTTTTCAATAAAAAGTTGAAAAGTACAGAAGGTTAGAGTGCATAAGGGCAGATTTCTGTCCTCTCATTAATCACAGGTAGGTGGTCTGTGTCTCCTACTTTGAGAAACACTACCCAGAGCAATCTAAAAGGCTACGATCAGGGAAAATTGATGAACACACTTCATTAACCCAGCATGTTCATTGAGATGGACAGGTAAAACCAAACAAATAATGCTTAATGCAGGGTATACTTGTTCTAGGTGTTACATAAATACATTCTTCTGGTTTTCATAACATCTTTGAGAGGACAATATTAACTAAATTTATGGATAAAGCAAATGGCACACATAGAAGAGGCAGAGCTGAGAGTCCATGACAGGTCTATAGGACCAAAGTCTATTTTATTTTCACCAGCGCCACTACTGGGCAGCTTGAAGGAGCAAATAAGTCACAAGGACAGACTGAGGGATTGAGAATGGACAGAGAA